ATAAAATAAAGTAAAGTATATACATATATGCAGTAACAGAGTAGTAATAAATTATAAATTATGTGCAGGTGGTGTGGTGGGGTAGAGTCAGTGCGGTGCAGAGTCAGTGTGATGCAGGGGGCTTGTGGGGCTTGTCTGTAGATGTGTTGTGACTTTTGTGTCTATTTCTGTGGGCCTCACGATCGGATACATCACGATACATGGATAACAACACGATACGTCATTATTTATTGCGTTACAATACATATTGCTATGTACAGCAATAATTTGCAGCATATTGTGCTAACACTATCAGAAACATTTTACATTCACAGTGACATCTGTCTGATATTCCATGTGTAGAAATGAAATTCTGGACCAGTTGTCTGGAGTCTGAGAAGTCAAACACAGTCTAGAGGTCTTTTAATATCATCTGCTAGTGCTGCACGGCTGCTGTCTGACTTCTGTGTGAACTTGTAGAGAGCAAAATCAGGACAGAGGTTTCAAGAGCAATTCAGTACTATTTAATAAGCCTCATCCTCTTTCATTCTAAGCGCACACAGCATGACAACCATCCTCACAAAGAGCCCACACACCCTAATTAGCTAATATGCACTAAAGCTTAAAACGCTCCCACTGAACACAGGAAATTTTAGAGGGCATTAAAGCCTAAATATGTGTTATCAGAGCATGTGATGCACCCTGGGAAGCAGGATCCTCTGGAGATGTCTCGCTGACAACAGAACGAGCCAGAGAAATCACAGACGAGAGGGATGGTTTTATTAGGAGAAGAAACGCAACCTTTATCGCACCTTTCCCACTGAGTCCGTTTTAAGTTGGGATGTTTTAATCTTTGTACGAACGGATGGGAAATAACTGTGATCCCTATGTGAGATCTCTGTCGGCGTGTGCGTACACAGACATGCCTGTTTATGCATGGGTGAGGGACACGAGAGGGGGTGAAGGTGACTCCAGCGACCATGCAATTTTATGTTTTGTGATTTGCAGATTGCTTTGCCCCAATCCCTAGAAATTCTTCTGTAAAGTCACAAGAAAATCCTATGAGCGCTTCCCATCACACACCCCATCCCCTGGTCTCATAGCCCCCCTCCCACACGGGGAGCCCCATTGAGAGGCCCAGGCAGGAAGATTCAAAAGCCATCACATTAGCAATGGGATGGAACTAAACCACCTACCCAAGAGGACCGGCCATTATTCTGCTTCACGGAGAAAACACAGGGAGCTGAAAGGGCTGCTGTTAAATCTCTGTGTTTTCAAAACTAAACCAACACAAATTAACCAATACAACTCAACGCCAACACACTCTAATAAAACTAATTAATACATATATATTATAAACCGAAGTGAACAGAAGAAGGGGCATCACTGTCAGTAAAGGCTGTGGTATAAAGGGGAAGTGGCATAGCCGATGCCTCCTGGGCTTATGGGGCTTTTAAGCAGTGTCCGAGGCCCAGAGCCAGTGGTTTTTATACGTGCTACACTGACTTCTAAACTGGTCAAATTAACCGGTAAACAAGGATTTAATTAGAAACTGCTCATGAAAATCATCTAATCAAAGGAGAATGAAAAAGAGGCGGAGTGTGTGCAGGAGGAGCCACAGAGAGTTTCCTCAATAACGTTATATTAACAACAAGTCACATAACTGTTTGGATCTGAAAGGAGTCCCTCATAGTGACAACCCCATAGAGAATTATTACATGACTCTGCAGTTACCTTCTGGTTAGTTACCTTCAGCTCTGAAGAGGTTTAGTGTCTTTTAGTTTATTATTTTGGTTTTGCAGCAAATAACTTTATGGTTTTGGTTCACTTCCTGCCCAGCACCAAAGAGCAACTGTCAAATTACCATAATGATTTGTTAAAGTGAATATTGCTCGATACTTACTGAATGTGTAAACGGGCAGCTGTTTGCAAACCCAACTAATTCCACTAATAAATCTGTCCGTCACTTTATTTTCTGGACTATCGCCCATCTGATTGAGTTCAAACATGGCAGTGTCATCTACATATTTTGGATTAGAAGCTCTCCACACCTCTACGTCTACCCTCAACCCGCCCTTTTATTTTTAACTGCGCTTGCTGTTACCATGAGTGACATGAACAGTGATATCACAGTTTGTAGAAGCCATTACTCCCATCACTCTTCATTGTTGTGCTCACACAAGCTTGTTTCAGCTGTGTTGGAGTTTTATGTTTGATTTTAAAAAGTAAATAGACGAATAAACAAATGTTACAGTTGCTGCGTTAAACAATCGATTTTAAACAACATTATTTAGTTCTGTCTCTAAAACTTGTGGTTTTGGTCGAGCTGCACAGGCCAATCTTTGAGAGAACCTTTCTATCGTAAGTAACAGGTTGAGACAAGATGTTTAAAGGTTTCATTTGGAGCATATGTCATGTCTTTCAGCTGTAAATCCTGACGCAAGTAACCGGAGGAGAGGGGGGGGGGGCAGTCACATTCTGCTCTGGCGTTGTTGTCTGTCTGCCCGCTGACAGCAGCAGTTGCCAGGCTGAGCGCCAGAGGTGTTACTTTTCTTCCTTTGACTTTTTGGATTCATCACCCAATGAGCAGAGGCTGTGACCCATGAAGAAGCCCGTGGGGGGGCTTCCAGGGCTGTGCGTGCAGAGTAAGGTAACAGATTCCAGCTCGATGATGAGTCAGTAAATGGTTTTAGGGAAGTAGCCAGTGCAGCCTATAATCAAAGACATACATGTCAAGGGTAAAGATCTAGGTTGACTGTGCGCCAGAAAACCAATGACCCATCGACAGAGTAAAAGGTTTCTATTTAAAAAACATTAAATTATTAATACGAGAATCTCATATTTAGAATTTACATTCGAGATATTTTAGTATTAGTTTCCCACCTGGTGAACTCTTCCATTTTAGATAATGACAGATGAAATAAATGACAAGAATCGTATATCATGAAACAATGCTGACTAAAAATGATATATTTAAGCAACACAACAAATAGCACTGTTCTGTCGCACACATCAACACATATTCTTAACATTCATCACCGTTAACGATAATTTCATGTCCTCCAGAAGATGAGTTGCGTCAAAGCTAAAAATGATAGATAGATGGCTAGTTTGGCACGGATTCAAAAATGTTAATTGAATGCCCCAGCGTCGATTTGACAACTGAGCTCGTGTGATCGATGTGCTCGTCGCCCCCTTTTTCCCTCAGAGAGAACATCTCTCAGGATTAAACAAATTCCACTCCACATATGTCTTGGTGAGAACTTAGAATCCTGGGAGCAGTAGATGGTGGCGTATAAAAGTATAATGATGACAAAAGACTGCCAGCTGCTTGGGTTACTGTACACAGTGCAGACACAACAAAATGACTTACAATAATTAAACACAGGAAGCGGTGGATATCCTCCGGAGAGGCTGCTTTCTGGAATACTTTCTGGAGTTTACTTAACCAGCGTCAGCTCAAACTTTCTTTGAAAAGAGAGACGGGCTGTCACTTTGTTTTCATTAAAGCAGTGATGTGAGGCTTCACTTCAAGAGCTGTGAGTCTCAGAAGTGTAACAGCTTATTTAGGATAAATCCTCTTAATGCGTGTAAATATTTGACCGGTTTTAGAGGCTCGTGTGTAGTGTCTTGAGTGAGATACGCTGACGTACCTTTAATAATCTGCTGTGCCAGTGAGTGGCCGTGCTTGTAAAACACGCGGGCACACAGTGGCACCAGCTCAGCATCCATCTTCTTCATGGCTTTCTTGAACGCAACAGCGACTGCTTCCGTTACATCCTCTACATCCTTGACCTCCGGGTCATCAGCGGGCACGGCCAGGGAGAGGGACAGAGACGCGCTGCACTTGTCGGCAGACATTAGGGTGTTGCACTCTATGGATCCGCACGCCACCTTCGCAGTCATGTGACAGGAAGTCCTCTTGGTGTAATCATCCTGGACGGCGGTGACGTGAAGCTCAACAGCTGCACCCTTGGGTAAGGCAGGTACCACGGCAACCAGTAACGGAGCAGGTTTGACGTCAGGTTGCCACAAAAAGTCCTGCAACACACACAGATGGTATTCAAATGAACTGGCTGGTAAATTATATTCATGTGTCGCACGCTACAATCAAATGTATGGCCCTCCTGCTGAGATCCATTCTGACCAAGCACTCAACATTATCTTAAAAACGTGTCATACAGATTCTACCACGCTGCACTAAGACGGACTTTTCACTCGACAGACTGACAGGCTATCAATTAACTGGAGACTGGGAGGTGACCCTTGCTAATGATAGTGTACAAACAATCCTGAAAGAATCCATAATGCTCACAGCCGCTCGTCCGCTCCGAGCTGCATTTGCTGACATGACAGGTCCCATTTAAGATGACTCCTCACCTCTCTGAGAAGATCGTTCATAACCTGTTATGGCAGCTTCACCACATACATTTTAGTAGAAAACTGTCTCGATTTTATCTACACAGCCAAAAATACTCGTTATTTTTTTCTCCTCCTCCTCCAGACTGAGGGGCCATTAGCAGTAACAAAATGTCTTGGAGCAGTGCTACAATGTGGCCCTCTAATAATACTTGGTTGTGGCTTCATCTGCTAATGGGAGAGAAATGAGTGTTTTATATAACCATCGTTTCAGTTGGAGTCGATAGGGCAAAAACACTTAACCCCCTTTTCAGTCGGCTGGATCAATTTTCATCCACTTACACCCCACTTCGTAAGTGCAGAATAATAACAGGTTACTTGCATTTTATTTTGATATTCACTCACGAAAAAGAGAGAGAAATCAGTGACAAGAGCAGATGACGGCCTCTTTGTCCCTTCAACAGACGGCTCGTCAGGTCCCAGTCGGCCAGACTCGCTGAAGCAACACTTACCATCAGATTAAACTTGAGCAAACGCTTAATTGTGTATCAGCAGCTAACCTCTTGCCTTGGAGAGTGAAAAAGGGGCCTGAATGAGTATGAGTGCAGGGGTTTCAGGTTGAGATTTCTTTACTCTGCTGATTCTGAAGAGAGCCGAGCTTGCGGTGTTCAACAATAACAATCATGAGAGCAGAGAACAATAGCCGTGTCAGCGCGGACCTCTTAGCATGTCAGACAAAGTGACAGCACACATACGTGTCCGATGCTTTGATAAATGTTATATTAGCACTTCTGGCGCTGGCTAGGTATTCTCCTGGAGGGAACTGCTCGTGCACTTGTCAATAGTGATTGAACATGGAACAGAGAGCGGGAACTGGGGGAGAGAAGTGACAGGACAGGGGGCCCTGCTCAGCCAGGCTTAAAGGCCACCCTGCAGGCCCTGGGTGCCGAGGTACCATACCCAACCAACTGTCCGCAAGGAGATCAGGGGATTCAGCACTCAGCTCCAGCCTCTGGCAGGACTTTATTCTCACAGCACAGTTGCTGAGTTTTTTGTCGGAGCTGTCGGACAAGGTTACATCAGTATCTGTTTGTTTCTTTATTAATGTCTGCACCAAGATGTTACATTAGGTGGGAAGTTTGTTCAGCAGTTCTGTGGAGGGGATTCTGCCAAAGGTGCATTATTGCATGTGTGTGTGTGTATTTCTGCTGTTTTCAGACATGATCTCATGAAAATGTCGGGAAAATTGAATCTGGAGAGTTCAGGGGAGGGGAGGCCCTGGTAGTGTGTCTAACCCGTACGCTGCAGAAATCCTGCTTTTGTCACCAAAAGTTCTCAAATCTCATTGTCTTTCCACTTTGACAACTTTATTTGTGTCTTCTACATGTACCTTTCCTCTTTTTCATCATTTTTCAGTTTTGCATCTGTCGTTTATTGAAATGTCATCCACCCACTTGTCACTCAATCACGCTTGATTCCTCGGACATGATCTAACAACTCCAGAATTTGCTTTTCTGCTATACAGCCCCTCTAGATGAGTTCAGGAGATTATCTGGAGTTCAGTGCATCTGAAAGCAGCGAGACTGTGGTCAGAAAGTGCCAGTAGAAAGAGGGGGAAACACTGGCTGATATCCTTATCTGACCAGAAATCATTTGTTAAATTAATCCAATAAAACACAAACTTTGATATATGGTGGAGCTGAGTGCTGGAGTGGCAAGTTCACAGGGCAGGAGGGTGGCAATGTGAGTATGTGAGTGTGTGAGTGTGTGCAACCACTTAACACAATCCATCTCATTACTCCATTTCACTTCAGTTCCAGGGCATGCAGCCATTCTCCCAGTGCTTTCTCACTCCGCAGGCAGCAGGTAAACGCATGAAGTCTAAATCTGCTTGGCTCAGCTCTCCACACTGATGGGGTGTGACCTGCCTCTCCTTATGTTTGTTTTCTTTCTCCCCACTTTCCTCCCTCTCACTCGCGTCCATGCGCCCGGAGCGTGCGGCAGGGGCAGGATGGCTGAGAGGCGTAAAAGCCGAACGGTAAACACGGTAATAAGGAAGTGGTGTAAAGGCGAGGAACAGCGGGGAGCTGATGGGACTGCGCTGCTTAGCCAGTTCCCCTACATTTCCTGCCCAGCGGGACACCTCCAGCATGTGGCTCTATGTCTCAGCACTTACTGTAGTGCTGTCAGCCTGCCGTAATATCCGCTCCTATTCACTCTCTCTTTCACTCTCCTTTCTCTAGATTCCACTCTGAAGCTCATCAGATTGTTCGTGTAAATGAAACACACAGGGTCGTGTCCGTGGGGTGAAGAAAAGTTTAAGAATGAGACCATTAAAAAAACATGGCAGAGGCCAAGATAGCTTCAAAAAGTCCAAAGTAAGCAGGAGAGAAATAATGACGAGATGGTTTACTGTGGTATTCAGGGGAGAAACTCTCCACACTGCCATTTCATTACCACACATGTCCATTTGTTTGTTTGTCAGCAGGATTACACAAAAACTACCAAACGGATTTCCACGAAACTGGGTTAACATGGTTCAATAAAGACCCCCATGAAATTTTGGTGCGGATCAAATAATTATTTATAACCTTAGCTGCTTTCGGACACACACTGAACTCCAGAGACCTTCCTGAAATTCTCCTGTGTCCTTCCTGGGCCAGTCCCCTTGTAAAAAGTCTGCAGAATGTCCACAGGAGCTGATGTGAGAACACGGCAGGAGATACCAATCATTTCTTTAAAAAATCTTTTGTCACATTTAAAAAATGTAGCCTGCTTAATAATTGTTTTTTCCTTGATGACACCTTTTCAGAACCTGTTATTGCAACACAGAGGGACGTCTGTTTAACATTTATTGACTGATCACATCAACATCTCCATGTTCATCAAACCTGTCACACACACACTTACACACACAAAGACAAACAGGCTCTTTGTGGTTTAATGCACCGTAAATGCAATTTCACACTTGTGGAGACTCCAGTATGCTCCCAATTAACCCTGCGAGCTTCTTCATCCACCTGATTAGATAAATTATCAATGCACAACAACAACATGGCTTCACAGACAGGCTAAGCGCTGGTGTTTCCATCATAAACATGCACTTCACCGTTTGTTGGATGGAAATACAATGACAAGTGCGACACTTATATATACGTTAGAGCACAAGGCTACATAATATCGAATTTGGATTTGATTCTGCTTCCATAACTAAGCCTGATATTACAAAATGTGGCCATAGTTTCTTTAAAAGCCAAAATGTGATCATAATGCATTATAAATAGGACTTTAAGGACAAAGGATGGAATAAGAGAGAATAGGTACAAGTGAGTTCAGTTTAATGACCAACTAAGTCAAAATTGAATTAAATATGATGCATTTAACTTCTTTAAACTACCACTGTGACAGTTAAAGATTGAATAAAACAACTATTAGGTATAATGTTTATATCTAACTTAGGTACATTCAAGTTGGCATTTTTAATTTAAATTTACATGAGCATATTAAACAACACGTAATAGATAATTATGTAGCAACTATCATAATTACATTTTTTGTGTATTTACATTTTGTCTCCTCTGCCCTATTTTGTTATGCATTTCTCTGCAGCTTAATTTCTGAAAAAGACTTATTAGTATTAGGTTACTAACTTAAAGAATACATTTGAGTCGACTGTGTTGAAGGGGGTGCCAACACATAAAGCTGTATGTAAACAAAGCATGACTTTTTTTTTTAATAGCACCATCAGGTGGAAACTATGTTCTAACTGTTCTCTGTGGGAGTTATGTTGCCAGTGTTTGACCCGAGTTAAACATCGTAATTACAGTCAGATGAGCACCAGTGCTGTGTAAAACCCAACCCTGGGTGAAAGCAGCTCACCAGGTTTAGAATTAATCAGTTGCCACAGCTGCTCTCTCCCTAGCTTTATCTGTGCAGCTGAGCTAGGCAAGACAATTTATCTAACTAAGTCAAAGAACCTAGACCAGCTCTGTTCTTAAGAGAAGAGTTCACCAGTTTACTCTAGAAAAAACCCTGAGCTTTCAGGTTGAGATCCTCAATCTGGAAATCTTTCTGACATTAGACATGGTCTCCCTATAGAAATCCTGGGTTATGCAAATGAGTATTGTTGATTCTCCTGAAACAGCACATGGAAGCACAACAGATGGGAGATGTTGTCCACCTTCAGGGACCTCTGACACCCACCCCCCAAAAAAAAGCTTTCCCTCCTGTTACCTAAACAACCCAATCTACATGCTAAATTGATACTACGCTTTTAGTAGTCATACGATTCCTACTTCACCAGGAGGTACAAAGACAAACCAGAAGGGCATAGGTCTGCCAAGGCTAACACCTTATCTCGCCATGTTAAAGAATTTGAAGAAAATTCCTGGAGCCGCCCGTTGGTCCGCATTTGCTCCAAAACTGAATTCCTTTGCCGTAACCACACCCTTCCACCAAATTACATAGAAATCGTTATTTTGTGTAATCCAGCTAACTCACAAACAGATAAGAAAATGAGAAGAAATGAAAACATAACCTTCATTGGCAGATTTAAAAAAATGTATGTGTCATATGAATTCACACAGAGTTACCAGCTCCTGACTGAAATATTCTGCTTGTATTTAAGTGAAATTTTGGGATGAACATTTGAAGGTTTCAAAAATATGATTTATGGCATAAATATTATACATTTTGATTTTCATGCACTGCTTTACTTTTGAGGAAGTGACACAAAGTTGACATCCACTCTGCAGTCTTTAACAGCGCTCACCAGCGCACAGAGCCACATGTTGGAGGTGGGCTCCTGCCGTTTTCCCTGAGGCCCTGTTCCCATGGCGAGACAGATTATTGTGGGAGGAGAAGGGCTGCCAGGGGAGACTGGTGCCCCCGTTAGACGTGTGGAGGCAGGGGTTGTAAGCTGGGGCGGCGGAGTGGAGGGAAGGATGGAGGGAGGTGGCAGGAAAGAGGGGTGGAGAGGGGGATAAGCTGCTTGGAGAGTTGAACGGCGCTCCAAAACGGTGTGTGGGGGCAAAGGATTAGGGAGGCTCTGAGGAAGACATCTGCTTCTGTGCCAAGCTCCACATTATCAAAGACACCAGCGTTTCCCACATCATCAACTTTTCATGAGCGCACTCACTGGTAAATATCAGTCGCTGCGGCTCGAGTCTCGAGGGGGAGAGAGGGGCAAGGAACTTTCGCTTATTTCACAACAACACAAATCTGAAAGGCCTCTCTGAAAAACTTGGATACATATAAGTTTCTCCTCTTTTACTTATTCATTGAAGCAAGGATCTCAGTGTCTTTTAATCCATTAAACATGTGTTCATCCTACGTGGGTGTAATATTGTATTATGAGTATGATCAATACTTCTTCTGCATCTATAATAAATCAGCCAGACGTAGCTCTTCTCCTTAACAACTGGAACATATTTCATAAACAAAAATCTCATTCCACATGGGCTGACCTGCTCTTCCTCTGCGGCCGTCAGCATGCTCTCCCAAACAGCTCTGACGACAGGGATGTCTTGATGTCTCGTGGTGTAGCAGTGAGCCTGGACGACATGAGCAAGAGTCAAGCTGCTGATCACAGCCTCCAGAACCTTCTTCACATGGCTGAAGGACAAGTGGGCCTGTCTTCTGGTGCCGGCCTTCATCAGCTGCAGGGTACACGGCACCAAAGCAATTTGGCCTGCACAGAAAACGGACTCATCTACCTGGAGAAAAGAACACAGAAGAAAACACAGTGTTGAGACTAACTTAAGTTATAAAATATTTAAACACACAATTATAAACTTGAACATTGAGTTGCTATTCAATCAGAAAATTAGCCATCAAGATGATAATTTAGTTTAATTAATAAAATAAGGTACAATCAGTGAGGTGTTATAATCAAATTAACATTAATTAAAATCATATGTTTAAGTAGCAGTGCATTAATTAACAAGTTCCACCTCTCCTGTTTTTCAGCATCTTATCACCAACAATTTTCATTTCACAGTAATAAAGCGAGCAGGTATTCCGCTAGAAGCCTGCCAACGCATCTCCGTGGCACCAATGTTATTTATGAGCATAATTAACGATGTGATAATAAGCTCAATTCTCTGTTAAATACCTCGAGCGTCTTGAAAAATCTATCTGTTTAATGCAGAGAGGCGACTTGGGATGAGATGTGAGGTGTCATTAAGGAGGTCAGGTCTTTAGAGACCCTGAGGCTCACCAATGTGTGAGGTTGGAGGGTATTAGTGCCGGACACTAGCTGCTGGTCAATGCAAATAGATGCTGGTGACATGTTGACAATTCCAGGCCAACACAGGGACCCTGGACCCTTATGCATGTCAAGGGAGGATCAAGGAGGTCTGAATCAATTGATACTTGGCCCGAGACATGATACTTTGCTAATTAGCAAAGGCAGCTTAGGGTATCATGTTTCACATTGAGGTTACCATGGTTAAAGCAGAATACAGGTACAAGTTCAGATTTAAGCTCTAAACCAAACTTCTTCGCACACTAATATCAAACAAAGTGTTTCATCAAAACAACACGTCTCCATTTCCTCCCACTGTCCTGAAATGAAGCCAAAATATCCCGGTTACAATCGCTGCCATCTTGCAATGATGACGTCATGAAGAGCCTGTGCAGTAGTAATCATGGAGGGGAGCCGTGGTTTCGAGGTCCCACCAATACATTAGTCGACCAATCAAGAGTCAGTCTCAGCTGTCAATCATGAAATTTCACCCCACATTTATAGCATCAAATAACTAATGGAACTCTGTAAAGCGCATACCTCTGCCAAAGCCCAGTTATTTTCATCAGGATTCATGAATACCCTGGGAAAGTTGTGAAAATGTCTCTCAAAAAAGAAGTTCCTGGACCCCCACCAAACTTATATGGTCTCTTCTGCCATACCGCATGCTTCCAACAAGTTTCGTGGTAATCTGTCCAGTAGTTATAGTGAAATCTTTCCAAGACACAAATAAAATAACACATGGACAGGAGTGAAAACACACCATCCTTGAGAACATGGACATATAGCATATGTCCACCCACCAGGGGGCAATCGAGATGCTTTGCTTTTGGGGAGCCATAACATCGTCCATCTTTATATACAGTCTCTGATATGACACAACTTTAAAAAATGGGAAGTCAATACAGGATAGTTGAAGTGTGTTAAATCTCTGTCTGACAGAAGAAGCACAAGGTTCTAGCTACACAGAGCTAGAAGGAGGACATGGTGGACGTGCTTATTTCAGATTGGTGTTTAATCGGATGGGTCTGAAATGATCCCCCAGCTCCTGGGTTCACTTGTCAACTGTGATAAATTGTCAGCTTCCACCTCTGCTGCTGCAACTTGCTGGGACAGCACGGGAGACGAGAGATGAAGTGAGGACGAGCAAGAGGGGTACGAGTGAGTGAAGGGGAAGAAAGGCAGGAGATAAGGCCCTCGCTGCTTTCAACCAGTCGGATCAATCACCACATCATTTACCTGAGAACGTGATCTGCCCGAGAGCCTTTGTTACTACGTCTGCCTCACATAAAAGCCAGATTCACACACATCAACAACAAATTGTCATTGGCATTTCATTTATGAGCCATCAAATGCCATCATATCAACTCCAACAAAGAAGAGCTCCATCAGGTTGGACGGAGGGCCATAATCTTTTAACAAGCTTGTCCCAATGAAAAGCTCTGGCTCGATTCTGAATTCATAAAGGTCGGCTACCATTTGTCGATTTGAATATCAAAAGGGGCTCGCGTGGGGCCCCTTGACTGTTAAAGGCAGACTCCCATAGCTTCTACCAAGCAGGTGTGTGATGATCAATTATTAAGGATCCCACTCTGGTTACTCTTAGTGGGAGGTGGAATTGGGGATATGGGGGTTTGCGGCGGTGGGGGCACATCTTTCTGTAGTGAACCTGGATGGGGGGGGGGAGACAGTGGCGAAGGCAGAGCGAATACTATTTACATAAAATTAACAGTTCAAAAGAATGAGTTCACACACCAATCAAACTTGTTAATTGACTGTCAATGGAGTGTCCCTGAATATACAACACAACTACATTATTCATCTTTGGCTTTGACAGGAAAGACAGTCCAATTTGCATGGGCGTTCTAAACGTGATCAACAACCACAATGCCACATGCATTTTTAATAGGCGGGAGATGAGATCTTTTAATATTCATAAGGGTCAAACAACTGCATATGACATTAAACTTTCTATAACAAGGTAAGTATTTTTCAAATGCTAACCTTAGCGGTCTAAATGGCCCACAGAGAGAAGGGAAGACACGCTGCTGTCTAACAGTGCTCCCACTGAATCAATAATGCACGTCCATGTTGGTTTACTACTGTTCTTCTGTTTCTTAATAATGTTTGATATTTGCTGGCATAATTCAAAGGGTTTTTAGATATTTCATCTTTTATAAATAGACTTTTAAGGCAAAAATATACAGTTTTAATTATGTTTTTATCAGAGGAAACACAGTGGGTGTGCAAGCATGATGACGATGATAGAGCTATACCTCGATATCAATATTTGATATTTGAGTTATGTTGTCGAGCTGAAGTCAGAATAGTCAGTGGCTCCAAAGTTTCTTTGTCTTTTTTTTTTTTTTTTTCCACGTGTCAGATTTCATTTTTCCTCTTTCAAAATGAAATGAATCATTACTTAAAACATGAAAACTGTGAACAACAATATCGATGGAGACAGGATAAACAAAAATACTGAGTTTTCACCCAGTCTTAACAATAAATATCGACTTTGACAGAAACATCAAAATAATCTTTTAACAGGCTCTCAGCCAAACACACTTCCAATCAGCCGGTTCATTTTTATGACTAACTATGCTGGTTCTTGCCTTTATGCTTTATCGACCTTTATTTCATGGCTAAAACACCATCATTTCTCTAATAAACCCAATGACATACCAAAAGGTCACCAACCTCAAAGACATTCTCTGTCCATCTCTGTGAGCTGCAGACAGTAACATATATGTAAATGTACTCAGGAAGCGCCTGCCTGTGTCCGCTCCCAGCCCTTAACGGTGTCTCATTTCAGGCTGGTGTGTCTGAGGTGTTTCTAATTGCATTTTTTGTCAAAGAGCTCCCAGAGATGACCAGACAGTGCTAGACTATATTCACATTGGTGTTGGAGCCCTCTGGGCCCCCATCGTGTTGAGGACGTCTCCAAGTGTCATTAGCCGAGCCTTCGAATGGTACACATGAACTGGGCGAAGCCGGGATAAAATGACCTGGTATTGATGAACAGTCAGGTTTTTTTTCTGCCAGGTTCCAAGGACAGAGAGAGGTGGAAAACTGCTCCAGCGGTCCTATCAGATATGCTAATGGTCACATTTCTCCCCATTGAGACCTCATGCATAATTTAAACAGGAAAATGATAATACAAAGCCTGTAAAAAAGGTTAGATTAATATGGTGTAACTTTTCCCTTATGCAAGGACACATGTAACTAAGCTAAAGGGGTAATGGCCATACAGTATCAGGATGGGTAATTCCATCCAACATGTAATTAGTATTTGTGAGTTGTCTGTCCGTGGTGATGTTCCTACATGGTTTCAAACTGCTCTCAAATTACATCAAAATGTCAACTTATGTGACAAATATTTACTTTGCTTCTCTCCTAGAGATTCAAGGTTTGTAGAATACGTCACAACATACATATTTGCAACGCTTCCTTAACCCTTTTTCAAAGTAAAAGCATTTTCTGTTTCGTTTGTTTTAACAAGGTTTTGACGGTTATCGCAGGGCCGTAAGATGCAAGGCTCCAACCTGTAGTGTGCTGGGATTAATATAAGTGCAGTATTCATATCAGAAACCCCACTTTGATGCAGGCACGCTGCCAGTGCGAACAACACGCAACTACACGCAGCAGATCCGAGGCACAGCAGTGTCTGGACCGGGCTTTACAGTATTTGAAACAGGCCATGTGGTGCCGAAGATAAGATGCAAAAATCTCCTGTGAATGGGTCTCCTTGCATTACATTGAATGTGACAATGGCAATTCATAACTTGTGTCAACATCGAGATGGATTTTCTTTGTCATGTTTCAGGTGAATCACCAGGAAACTATAATCACAGCTGCATGATCAGCCTTGAGGGGCTCGTCACTTGAGAGGACATCCAGACAGTTGTTCAGTCAGGGTTTGATGCTGTCTTTTCTTCTTACTGCCACTTCAATCTTCAGAACCAAGACAATGCTGTATACACCCTGGATTCCGTTCAAAAGGTGAGATGCTCACATCCCTCAGCTGTTGGTTTGTGCTCACAGCAGCATGGAGGATTTTGAGGACTTTGAGTTCTCTGAGCTCACATACCTGCTGTTTCTAACATTTGAGTGCTGGAGCTTCTTTAGAAACCTCTTCTGACACATAACGGTGGAACATTCATTCATCAGTAAATTTACAGGTGACAATGTTTAAGATATCAGAAGATACAACAATTTATCATCAACTAACGACTCAACTCAATGTAGTTTAGGATAGTGATATAAATGAAAGAACAAAAATTGATAAGACAACACTTTCATTCAGCATTCAGTTAGTAGACGTTGGTAGCGCTAGTCACATTATGAGATAATCATCCAAAATTTCTAGAAACTATTAATTCTGCTGTGGATATCACAACTTTCTTGACATCTTAGTCTGTGTCTTCTAACGCGTCTGACGCTGCTTTGTTCTCATGTGGGATTCTCCCAACT